ATTCTATTCTATTCTATTCTATTCTATTCTATTCTATTCTATTCTATCCTATCCTATCCTATCCTATCCTATCACATTCAACATAGAGGCCTATCAGTATCACCTCTCCCTACTAGAACTCATTGGCCTACATATCTTTTTCTCTGGTTGAGAAAAAGAAATGGCTTCCCATATTAATGGCTGACTTTCCAGCTCAATTAAAATGCTCATTGAACAATGGCTGTGGAAGAGTTGTTGTGCTTTCACACAAACTGCAGAACAGATATTGCCATCACGGTAAAGGCAGTAAAGAACTGCCTAAGGAAACTTAAGATTGTAATTACATTCTTAACCGACAATAAAGGTCACACCACAAGGCACATTATACATATTAAGTATGCAAATAACCCCATCCTTTGCAAATATACCGCAGAGAAAGTCTGCAAAGTACCAACCCAGGCAACTCTGGGCTGCAGAGAAGTAGATTTTCCTGTCTTCTGGATTCTAGAATAGCCAGGCAAATACCCCACACTATTAAAAGAATGAGGGGAAATATCAAGCTTATGGAGGATTCAGACAGAATGATCTCTCAAGATGATCGAGCAAGTTCAGTTTCACTGCTATTAATATAACATTCATCTATAGCAATAGCACTTAAAGACTTACCGTATATACTGCTTCATAGTGCTTTACAGCCCTCTCTAAGCAGTTGACAGAGTCAGTATATTGCCCCCAAGAATCTCGGTCCTCATTTTACCAACCCCGGAAGGATGGAAGGCTGAGATGACCTTGATCGAACTGCAGGCTGTGGGCAGAGTTTGCCTGAAATATGGTCCATTCTAACCATTACGCCTCCACGGCCCTGTCAGATGCCCCAATGGACAAGCTGTGCCACAGGCAAAATGCCCCCTTAGCCATTACACATTTGTGACATGCAGTAATGGGGGGATTTGTGTACCACAAGTAATCCCTGACTCACAATCATAACTGAGCTCAGAATTTTGGTCCTAAGTCAAGATGGCGGTTAAGCAATTCATCGGTGTGATCATGCCCAATTTTACAATCTCTTTTGCGACAGTTGCTAAGCGAATGTCACAATCTGTAAGCAAATTCACGGTTCACAATGCCAGTTTGCAGCCCCCCCCCCACAAAAAAACAGGCTGGTAAATGGCCTGTTTTTGGCCCCAAAAAGGGTCTGTGTGTGAGGGGAGGGGAGAGGGAGGCAGGGAGAGGGAGGGAAGAATTGCGGAGAAGGAAGGAGAGGGAGGGAGACAGAGGCTGGTAAATGGCTTGTTTTTGGCAAAAAAAATTGTGTGTGCATGAGAGCGAGGGGGGGGAGGGGGGGAGAGAGAGAAAGAGGGAGGGAGGGAGAAAGGGGGGAGGGAGAGAGAGAAGTAGGTAGCTTCGAGTCTGGATTATTCGTAGCCCGGAGAGTTCCATGGTAACTTCAAACAGTCACTAAGCAACTGGCTGTAAGTCAAGGACTACCTATTATGTATTACGTAAGTTGACATCAACATTATGTGCAAGCTGGACAGAAACCGAGGATCACAGGAAGCTGCTTTTTATCAAGTCAAATCTTATGTCCTTCTATGTTAGTGCCAGTTTCAACTAAGACTTGGTAATCTTTCTGTGCG